TGCTATACAAATTAAACATATATATATATATATATATATATATAAAATAAAAATTATAAAAAATAATGAAATAATAAAAAGTTTAACAAACCCACCAGTTGACCTCAATAATTGACCAGCTGACCCATTCCTAGTTCTTGGATATTGTTTTTAGCAGAATATAATTCGCCTGCCGTCAGACCGTTTTCTTGTGCAATTCTAGAGAAAGGAGAAAAGTAAATTGCCTGTCCAGGTTTGTGCTGGGCCCCTCCCGCTCATCAGCCGTTTTTCAGCACACGTATGTTTCCCTGTGATCAAACTTAACCCCTGTGTCCCCTCAGACGACCGCAACAATAGAGCTCCCCACTCACCCCGTGGCCCTGAATGAGCAGCTGTGTAGTTGCATAGCAGCAAATAGCTGTCAAATGCCATCTTTGCTCGGGTTTTGACATGGGCTTTTCCCCTTTTCTCATGCAATGGATGAAAAAGAAGCTGTAATTAAGACGTTTTTAAAGAAAAAAATGAAAAGGAGGGGGAATTAACCCACCTCTCCAGCACAGTGCAAACAGTCCCTCCGCAGGGAGACTAAAAGATGGCACGTAAGAAGGAAGTACAAACAGTGAGCGCCTGGCTAGATACGGAGCGTTTTCATGAGACTCCCGTGACGGAAAGCCAGATAGATGGTTCAGGTCGATAACGGCGTGACAGACTTCCTGGGCGCACCGATAAGCCTCACGATGGCTATCTTTTAAAGAGGCTTGTCCCATTACCTGTTGATGGCTCCTGGCGTTCGGTACGCTGAGGTGTTTATCCACGCGGTGGATGGGTCTCGGGAGTTTGAGACGAGTGATTAATGAATGGAGCTTTTCTCAACATCTGTGTCAACTGTACCCACTATGAGCGTCTGACTCACATCAGATCTCAAACAGATCTTTGATGACTCATGAAATCTTGGTAATTTCATTTCTCTTCTGTTGTTAGTTTATGGTTTTGTTTGTAAGCTCCCTTCCATCCTGGCTGTTGTTTGAGATCAGCAATAAAAGAAGCCGTGACATTTTAAAACGCCAGTTGGCCTTCAGATGTGCGGTTTGAACCTGGCCTCCTATCAGCATGGCACTGTGGTTTCATATTCCGCCCTTGCTTTTGGAAAGGGTCTTCTGCTCGTCTTGGATGCCGTTATACACTTTTCATTTCTACGGCAGCACAAGCTTTGGCAGTAAAGGTTAATAGTCCTTCTCAAGCGTACACAGAGATGTGTACTTTGGTGAGTGGTTAAACCTCGTCTGGCTGGTCCTGCTGAACTGTGCACCTGTTCGTGGTGGAAAAAGGTTCCAAAATAATTTTTGTGCCTGATGCTGTTGGAGGACCTTTTAAAAAATCCATGTAGTGCCCTAGTTCTCCTAAAGCATTATATGGAACTTAAAAAGGCTCAGTCTTCATCAAGTCGTGTACCATAGAAGATTTAGTGATGTCAAAGGTGAACAATTTAAAGGGGTCATTTGATGCGATTTCAATTTTTCCTTTCTCTTTGGAGTGTTACAAGCTCTTGGTGCATAAAGAAGATCTGTAAAGTTGCAAAGACTAAAGTCTCAAATCCAAAGAGATATTCTTTATTTTCAGAAAGGCGGGGCATAGAGGAGAAACAATAATGTACAGTATGTGGAAAATAATGTGTTTTTTTAACCTTAAACCGCATAAACACATTTCATTACACCAAATACACCAAATAATGTTCTTTTTAGCAGCATCATATGACCCCTTTAAATGTCCACATGTCATTTAAGAACAATTTAGAATTCCATATGATGTCATAGAAGAGCATTTTGAAATTCCTTATGATGTCATAGGAGAACTTTTTCAATCTCCATATGAACAGTTTAAATTTCCACATTATGCAATAAGCAAATGTTCCATATGATGTCATAGAAGAGCATTTTTAGATGTATTTCTGAATGATGCCATAGAGAACATTAGGTTCCATATCATGGAAGAACAATTTAAATATATATCATGGAAGAACAATTTAAAATTCAATTCCATATGATGCCATAGGAGAACATTTTAACATTTAAACTCCATATGAAATCACAGAAGAACTATTTAAATTTCCATGTCAGTAAGAACATTTACATGGTAAGAATAAGTTCCATATGATGTCGTGGAAGAGTCTTTTTTTCCATATGAAATCATAGAACAATTTCCATATTATTCCATAAGAAAATGTTTTTCAGATCCATATGATATAGAAGAGCCTTTGTAAATTTCAAGTGATTTCACAGGAGAACTTTAAACTCCATATGATATAACTGAACTATTTAAAATTTCATATAATAATATAAAATAATTTTTTTTGTTATTCATATGATGTCATAGAAGAGCCTTTTAAAATTCTGTTTGATGTCATAGGAGAACTCTTTTTTTGTAACTCTGTATGTATGGGAGAACAGAAGAATCATGAAAGAACAGTTTAAATGTCCATATTATGCAATAAGCAAATGCTTTTAAGTTGCATATGATGTCATAAAGACCATTTTTAAGTTCGAGATGTCATAGAAAAGCTATTTTACATTTATTATGATTTCTTTTTTAAATACCATACTTCATATCATTGATGAACAATTAAAATCATGTTCTATATGATGTCATAGAATAGCCTTTTTAAAGTCCATATATGATGTCATAAGAGAATGTTTTAAACTCCATATATCATAGAAGTCCATGTCATAGAGAACATATATGATTTTGAAGAAAAAAACGTTCATACACCAACCTATAATCCAACATCAAAAACAAATCTCCAAAGAAGCTTATAGTCACATCAAGAACCCTTCAGAGGGAAAATGGTTCTTGATAAGAGATGCGTAACTGCCGCTGAGGAGCCTTCATGCTGAGAGCGCATCTCTAGGTCTTCAAGATGCATCGGAGCAATTGGAAACAGGAATGCTGAAGTTATCCATAAACTCAAACTCTATTGTAAGCTGCAAAGCCCCCCTCCTCCCCACCTGCGAGTCCCCAAGTGCTCATGTTCTAAAAATGATAAAGCTGCCCTACCTGTAATTTAAAAACAGATGGTTTCATCTTTTGAATATTTATAACAATCAAAACAATTTCTGCGCTATGTAGCCCAGGGCTATTAAGGTGTTAAGTGTTGGGTTTAATGAAAAAGAATCTCAGCTTTTTTTTTTTTTTGGAGTGGAATGTATTAAAATAGAAGAAGAAAAAGCAGAGGAGATGAATGGGAAATGTGCTGTTAGGGCAGCGAGGAGACGTGAACTCGTTGTGTGGTCTCAACATGCAACTCCGGCTGTGAAAACAGATTGCGAATAGGAGTTGCATTCATATAGGGCAGAAATCCCCAAAGCATCATCTGCTTTGCTGTCTGCCTCACAGAGCCTCCTGGATGCTTCTGCTTTCATACTCTGTGGCATTTGTTAAAGGGACATGTATTTTTTCTAGTTTATATTACTACAGAAAAAAATTGTGCATGAATCGCATTGCATATGTTTTTTTGGATCAAGATATGCCACTGTGATACATATAATGCTGAGTTGTGCGTAGTACAGGATTTCTTGACAGACTTTGTTATTGTACTGTGAGTAAACATACATTTTTAAAAGCGCATACAATTTTGTCTTGCAGAGTATGATTTCTTCAATTGTTAACAGCACTTACTATGCAAATGTGTCTGCGGCGAAGTGTCAAGAATTCGGACGCTGGTATAAACATTTCAAGAAGACAAAAGACATGATAGGTAAGCAGAATGCTAAATGAAAATTAATTATAATCACATCTATCTAAAGAAAGAGATCTGTCTGTCTGTCTGTCT